AGTGGAACTCTTGTATGACAGAAGGACTCACCATTACTTAAGTAGCACTTGCTTGACAAGGGGCATGGGTTACAAAACCCAGTGAATTAAGAGAGGATGGGGACAGGTATTTGTACCTGATGGTATGGGCCCCCTCTGAGGGCTTGAAACACCAATTGCACCACCTCCTCTCTCCACTGTTGAATGTCAGAGCTAACTTTGATTCCATTAGGAGTCTAGCTACAGGCTGCTGAGCTGAATTCACTTTGGGCCAATGGTGGAAGCTATATTGCTAAGCAGCTGGTGGAGCAATTTGCGGGGACAACTGGAGGAGCAGCAAGTGGCTGGAGTGGCTCACAGGTCGGTGAGCGGAGCAGCTCGTAGAGCAGAGCAGTTCGTGGGACGGCAGGAAGTGGACTGGCTCGTGGTGAAGGCTGCGGCGGAACCCCACAGAGAGATGGCTGGTCGGCCTCGGATCACGTAAGGTGCCCCTTAACACCCTGCGTGCCCCCCTTTTATTCTGGGGCTGCACTGACCAGGGACAGAGACTTTGGGGGTTGTTGGACTTTTGGGACTTTGGGTGGTTGCTGGACCCAAGAGACTTTGGGGGTGTTGTTTCTTTGGGGACTCTGGGTGATTTTTGGGTTGCTGGATTCAAGAACCAAAGGGAAAGGACACGGCCCAATTTGCTGGGGTGGGTCTTTTGCTCATGGTTTGTGTTATGAATCCTATTTGTGGTGTTTTTCCAATTTAATGCTGATGTCGTTTACCTCATGTTATTATATTAAACATTTTCTGCTACAGTCAGACTCCGTGCTTGTGAGAGAGGAAGTATTGCCTCTTAGAGGCGCCCAGGGGGTGGTATGTAATTGTCCCAGGTCACTGGGTGGGGGCTTGAGCTGGTTTTGTATTGCGTTATTGAAATGGAACCCCTAGATACAGAACCCGGCCCTTGTTGCTGCCAACTTAGATGGGCAGAAGGGTTACAAGTTAAACCATAATTTCTAAGGAAAAGAGATTTTTCAATGCAAACATGAGGATTTAACTAAATGGAGATTTACTTGAAACCAGATGGTGTCTGTCTTCAACAGAGTTGCAAGTGAAATACAAGTATTTTGACTGTTTGGAAAATTGTACTGGGATTGTATTGGGGGGAAAAGTGAAAAATACACATTAGTTGAATCAGATCTGAGGGCTTTTCTGTCTTTAAAAAAAAGTATTTGTTAGAAAGAGGACTATGTTAATGCAAACATAGGTGCCTTTTAGTTTGCGCTAGCAGTGTACCCACAGGGCAGTTAGACGGCAAGTCTTCGGTGTGCTCTGCAATTCACACCTGTGTAGTCTGCACTATGGTGCAGTGTAGACACTGCTTTACATGCCAATTACCATCTCTCAAACCAGCAAAGATTAAAAATTGTGCTATGCAATTGGGAGTTAGAGAAATGAAGACATAAAAGAAATGGGAGCTTTCAGCTCTTTAATGCTATCTATTGCTTCTTTCCAACCCATATAACATCAAATTAATTGGCAATCATAATAGTAACATAATGGTAGCAAACTGATCAGATAATTCAATTCAGAGAAGATAAATTTTATGACACTAATATAGCCCCACAAGGACAGTCTTAAATGTTTCCATCCATCTCATATAATTTGTATAGTCTTTATCAGCAGGATCTGTGTTATCTGCCAGTATACGACTCCACCTAGTTGTGACCAAGGTGGCTTAGTATTTAATTTTTCTTTATGGCTGCCATGCAAAATTCCTCTAAGACCAAAATGCATTAATAAGATTTATTCATCTCTTAATTCAGGTCATTCATGAAATGTTATAACACTTAAGTGAAGACTTCACATCATACCAAACACACCAATGTGATAAGTGTGTCTGAGTCAGATGGAAGCCCTAGGTGTGTTATGCTGCTTCTCTCTGGTATCATGCTAGGAAGCCAGGGCTTCTATGAATCCTCCTTTCATCTCCATCCTGAAGCCTCTTCACTTTCTGTGAGAGCTGAGCTGTGTGCACACCACTCCACTCTTTCAAGAAGAGCTTTCTCTCAGCCGTTAGTATTTGTCACTGTATTTGCAGTCAGGGTAGCGGTAGGCAAAATGGGAATCGCAAGATTGCAAAGATTTCAAGAGCTCTGTCAACTTTCCAGCGGCATCACTGACTTCCTGGTCTGCTCTGAAGCTGTCTGCACAGAGCCTTAGGAACCTGTCTATTTTCTCCTGAACAGGTTGGAGGAATTTTCCCTTTAGGAGCTTAGGTAGAAGCTCTTGACACACCATAACGAGGCTCTGCTTCTCTTTGACTGAATTACAGGAGGGAAATGCAGACTGGCAGTCCGAAGCCAAACAGCTAAATATGTCTTTATACTCCTGTTGCTCATCAGTCATCTGGAGACCTAATAAAGGCAATAAAAACATTAGTTAGAAATGTATAAATCTTTTATAATCATACATGTTTGTAATTTTGGTAAGAAAATGTCATTTAAAATAGTGTATACCCATGTTAATAATAACCTAGGTTAATTTAGCACCTTTTGTCCCAAAGCACTTTGTAGGCTGTATGTATAGGGTCATTTTCCACACTTCTGAAATGTATAGATGTCTCCGAAAGGTTGATGTGAAAAGAACTCATTGCTACCCCGCAGTGTTTTATAGATGGGGGAGAAGAATAATGCATTCCATTAAAATAGCAGAGGAACTCGAGTACAACGTAAATACTGAGCTGAAACTTGACGTTCCTATAGAAATTGCCACAATACTTAAGGCCTCAATTTTCCATTTCATCCAAAACCAGTAAGACTCAACAAGAGGTGATCTGATTGGAGCTGGACCAATAATGCAAAAGATATATAACTGAATGTTTCACTAGAAGATTTTCACAAAATCAGTATAAATTTGTGACTACACCTCTACCTCGATATAACGCTGTCCTTGGGAGCCAAAAAATCTTACCGCGTTATAGGTGAAACCACGTTATATCGAACTTGCTTTGAGCCACCGGAGTGCACAGCCCTGCCCCCCCAGAGCACTGCTTTACCGTGTTCTATCCGAATTCGTGTTATATCGGGTCGTGTTATATCGGGGTAGAGGTGTACTTGAGAATTATGCAGATGACTGCATAAGCTGAATGCATTTTTTTAAGTGTGGGGAAAAAAAGAAAAAAGTGAAATGTGTTAAGTTTATTAGACGAATGCTATTTGCTCAGCTCTAGTTTTGGTGGTGTATTACTTCACAGTTTGCCTGGTGAAAGGCAGAGCTTGAATTGAAGACAAACTGGCAAAAAGGGGTTGTCCTTTGTTAATAATTCTAAAGTCAATGGGATAAAATGGCCTGGAAGAATCTAAAGGATTTGGCCAAATATTTAAAACTGAGATAGGCCTGTAAAGTTTCTGTCTGCAAATTAATTTTTTGTGACACCAATTTTTAAAGAAAGAAGTGGAAGCTGTTGAATATTAGCATTCAAATATTGCCGTGTCGTCCACTGTCGCTAGTCACAGATATTACCAGTGTGTAGCTGTGTAGTGCTACAAACACTGTTCCAATGCTCTTTAATGTAGTGTTAGTCACAGCACCATTTACAGTACCACTGAAAGGTCTGTAACATTCTGAATACAGAGCTCAGCACTGCAGGAGCTGGTTCTGTTTTTATTGGCAGTAAATTTCTCCTCTTGAACTTTTAATTATCCAATTTACTGAGCAATTTTTGATGTTTTAAATAAAACTAGCATAGCTAAATCCTCCTATGACAGATGCTTATTTAGAGATCATACTGAGTACCTTCCTGCTTGTCAATGATTCCCAGTGTGCTGGCATCCCGGATGAACAGAAGCCCATTGTTAAAAATGCCAAATGTGCCAGCATCAACATGGACGAAATAAAAGAAATAGTTCATGTCATTGTTCCTCATGGAATTGACAAGAGAGAGGAGCTGGAGAGCCAGATCTGCCGCCACCTCAGGAGGAGAGCTGTAGAACTCCTTTAAAGGCCTGGTGCTGGCAGTGACAATCAGCCGGCCACAGGACCCCAAATACTTTGGAAATGGCCATCCCTCCGCTTCTGGGAAAATCTGTGGGAAGAGAAGGAAAATAATGGATCTAGTCACTGTAAATACTGAGGTGTGTATGTGGTGATGCACACATACAGAGTCTCCAGGAATATGCAGTAAAGTGTGTGTGTGTAGTGGGGTGGTCACCCTGCTCTGGTTAGGAATGGGTTAAAAGCAGCCAAGGGAGGCTGGTTGGGGAGTCAATCATAGGTGTGGTTGCACCAAATTAGGACACAGCTGGCCCTGATAAAAGGGCAGGCTGAGAGAATGGGAGAAGAGACTCTTGCTCCAGCTGGGGAGGAGGGAGGACCAGGCTGCCTGGGAGAGCAAGCAGAGTACCTGAGGCAGAGCAGAGCTGAGGAGCTCTGGCCTGGTGAGTCCCCAGGCTGAGGCCTTGCTAAAGGCCAGGGGAGGTACTAGGGCTGCAGCAGGGCTGGCCTTACCATGAGGCGAACTGAGGCGGCCACCTCAGATGCCAGACTGGGGGT